TTGTTTTTTTCCGACAAAAAGTTAGTAATCTAAACTCTTTTTGTCCTTTGTGAGAGGTGAGGATAATGGGGTAGTAGGCGTTGTATTTTGGGGAAAAATATCCGCCATATTGGGAAAAAATACCCGTTTTTTTCCCAGAAAATTTTGCAATCTGTCAAATTTTCTTTTGTAGAAATGTATATTTTGGCATTAGGTTCCTTCTCCAATCTCCTAGCCAGGAATATTCATTGTTTGTTGTAGTTCTGAAATTTCTACAACACATTTATGTGGGCAGAATTAGTGATCTTTCAAATCAGCACATTTTTTTTTTTTCAGTAAAAAATTATTGCAAAAATAAAAATCTGGGTAGTGCAAGCATAAAATTCGCAAGATTTTCTTGAGAATATATTTTAGTTTTTTAACAAGGTAATATGAGTCTAAAAATTCGCAAGGTTTTCTTCGGGACTTTACTTTCATAATGTATAATATCTGTAAGAACTCCAGAACATCCACATCGGTATGTCGACTTAAAAAGATGCCGCTTTTCTTTGAAGGTGCCGCTTTTTCCTGTCAAAAAACCGAGGGATTTACAAACAATGTATGGCCCAATATCGGAAAGAGAATTGGCAGAACGTCCTGAACATATACCTCGCTATCTTCCCGCTATGCATCGAGAATGGTGCGCACCTACGGCTTCTACGGGTACTGCTGGCAGAGCCCCTCCAGGTGAGTTTTTACTTTTTTAAGGCGCCTGATGTCGTAGTTTATCATTGACCTTATTGTTATTGTTTTTTGCATCGTATAAAATTATTGGTTAAGATAACGATGTAAAAAATATGGTTAAAATCGTTTATTTTTGCTGAAAAGGGAACAATTCTTGTGGACCGAGCTCAGGCGAGCGGCGGCATATTGCAAGAGGAACAAGGTACTAACAGCAAGGAAACGAAGCTGCCGGCTGTGCCCCTTCGCCTTGCCCAGTTGCCCTTCGATTCCATATGATATGCAAATGTCCCGCCTCCTGACTCTAGTTCCCCTCACCGTGATATGTAATGATATGATTAGAAATGAAGTGGTGATTGTGCGGCGAAAGCTTGGAGCTACTGCCGCTCCGTCTTCGCCCCTACCTTCCCCCTACCCCCTCCCCCTCCCCCCTCTCTCGTCCCCCAACACCACCACATAATTGTCCTCCGGTGGTAGTTTGGAGCTGCTGTCGAATTTTGCGCAATTTGATTTTTTCCAGTGTTTTTTTCAATAAAGCTTTGTTTATTAGCTTGGGCGAGCGCCCCCGTAGCCCCGTGGCAGGAGCCCCTCCCCCTTTCCTTCCTCTCCCTTGCCCAATACAACCGCGTAGGCCCTCCACCACGCTTTTACGCTTATTCTCAGTTCTCTTTTCCACTTCTTAACCTTAAGGAGAGTATAAAAGGGAACGGAGCACTGGAACCGTTTGCATTTTTAAAATTTTTTTTCTTAAACTGTACGATTTTTTCAAACACCTCTTTACACTATACATTAGTGGTTAGGCAATAACAGTGAGGCTGTATTTAAGAGTTTTTTTTTTTTTCTCAGTAAAAATCTAGACAAGGTTTGATGTGTATTTTGCATTTAAAGCACTAAATTACGACTCATCTGTCTGTTTTTGCAGCGAGAACGATTGAAGCTCGCCCAGCGGAAATAAAAGAAGACAAAGATTCAACGACAAAAAAATCTGTGAGAAATAATCGGCGGTATGTTAGCTATTTGTTAGATCATAGTTCTCCGAAGCGCATTTTTTGGATTATAGTTCTTCGGAATGCAGAGAAAAAAGGCTTTTTCTTTTGAGCAAAAGGTGTAAGTGCATTTCGAAACTTATCAAGCGCACCATATTTTTTGCCATGTTTATCGCTTATGCTGTATAATTCGGTTATAAGTCAATGAAAAAGCATTTTTATTATAATCATTAGGTTTTTTTTAGCATTTTTAGGGGAATTTCTTCTTACGGGGGTCTAGCATTTTTAAAATTTTCTTTTTTTTTGGGGGGGAAGAGGAGGGGGAGAGGGGCGGGGTTTAGATTATAGCAGTGCATCTAAAGTAATTGATAAACTAGCAGTGATACTTGGGCAGGCGATAACTACGTTCACCCTGTTCACTTTGAACAATCAAATTTTACAGTGCACGAATGCCACCTTCGAGCATCGCCTTTCCGGATTTCACTGGCCTGACCGCTAAAGAACTTGGATTTGTTCGGCCACAGAAAGTGGTACCGAAAAAGAAGCCCGAAGAGCCAAGTGGCATTATGAGTAGTGCCAATATTGTCGCGGCAAAATTAGCAGATCCATCATACAGCAATTCAAAATCGAAAACCAAAAAACGACCTGCACAGGACTTACTTTCGGTATATATTTGTATTGATCTATTTGAAAGATTATAGTGCAGGCACAGGATTTCCTATTTTTCAAGGTCAAATATCAAAGATCAGGATTTTCTTGTACATTTCCGGAGATAGGAAATTAGTTTGAAGCATTCTGGGTGGTAGCAAATGCTAATAATAAGTTGGCGAGGCTGTTAATGGTTCTCTCTTTCGAGCATCGCTTATATGTAAGCTAACGGCGAAAATAATAGAAAGGTTTATTAACAACGGATGAAATAAGAATAAATGGCAACGCGCACCAGACTAGCCGGTGCGATCATGCGTTTTGTGTAATACAGCCCATCGAACGATTGCCTGTTAATGATTTTCACTGCTTTGTACTTAAGTCTATGCAAAAATAGTTCAAACATTGAAAAACAGTCAAAAATTTCACGCACCAGCATATGAAAGCTGAATTCGAAACCTTGAAGGATGAATATCTTTCCGTTTTAAAAATTTCACGCACCTGCGTATGAAAGCTGAATTCGAAATCTTGAAGGATGAATATCTTTCCGTGATTCCCGAGTTAATAGTTTATCCGTCAAAAATCTCACGGGGCCGTTAGGTGGTAATCGAGAGCGCGAGAACACTGAATTTGAATGGGCAAGGTTGAGCGTGGGCAGGGGGTCATTATTCTTA